AATAGATTTTTAAATTAAATTTCGGATGAAAAACATTTATTTTATAGATTTTTTTATTCGCCAAGAATAAAAAATCTCGTACTATATATATATATATACATACATATAATTATATATATATAATTGTTCAATAAATAGCTTTCATATTTTAATCATATACATTATTTTAAAAAGCAAGAAAAAAAATTTCAATCTTCGATGTTCATAATTATTTTTCTTTTCAGATGAAGTACGAACTGGAACTTATCATCAACTGTTCCATCCCGAACAACTAATTTCTGGTAAAGAAGATGCAGCAAACAATTATGCTCGAGGCCATTATACTCTAGGAAAAGAAATAATCGATCTAGTCCTTGACAGAATTCGGAAGATCGCCGACATGTGCACCGGTCTTCAAGGTTTCCTTATTTTCCACGCGTTTGGTGGTGGCACAGGTTCTGGATTCACCAGTTTATTAATGGAACGACTTTCTATGGATTATGGCAAAAAGGCCAAGCTTGAATTTGCAATTTATCCTTCTCCGCAAATTTCCACTGCAGTGGTAGAACCTTACAACGCCATCTTAACTACACATACAACTTTAGAACATTCAGATTGTGCTTTCCTCGTGGATAATGAAGCGATCTACGATATCTGCAGGAGAAACTTGGATATAGAAAGACCCACGTACACGAATTTAAATAGATTAATTGGTCAAATAGTATCTTCTATTACGGCTTCTTTGAGGTTCGATGGGGCATTGAACGTCGATTTAACCGAGTTTCAAACGAATTTAGTGCCGTATCCGAGGATTCATTTTCCTTTAGCTACTTATGCGCCCATTGTTTCGATCGAAAAAGCTTATCATGAACAACTGACAGTAATGGAGTTGACGTCGTCTTGTTTTGAACCAGCTATGCAAATGGTAAAATGTAATCCTCAAAGAGGAAAATATATGGCATGCTGTTTACTGTATAGAGGAGACGTGGTACCGAAAGATGTGAATGCATCCATCGCGACTATTAAAACAAAAAGGGCAATACAGTTTGTCGATTGGTGTCCTACTGGATTTAAGGTAGAGAGTGACAGATATTTTATTATGTATAACTATTTTATATTTTGTGCTTTATTATGTATAACTATTTTAAATATTTTTAGATTATTTAAAATTTTTTGTTAATTTAATGTACTGAAAATCTTACGTTAGAAAGAGTTAGCTTATGTTATTTTAAATTCATTATTTACTTTTAGGTAGGGATTAATTATCAACCACCGACAGTGGTACCTGGTGGTGATCTTGCTAAAGTACAACGAGCTATGGCAATGCTTGCAAATACTACTGCAATTGCCGAAGCATGGACAAGATTAAATAGAAAATTTGATTTGATGTTTGGGAAACGTGCATTTGTTCATTGGTAAATTTTCACTGATCAGAATGCGAAAAAGAGTGAATAAACAATTTTTTTTCAATATTTAATTTTTTCGATCATAAACTCTAGGTATGTGGCTGAAAGTATGGATGAAAGTGAATTTAACGAAGCCAGAGAAGATTTGGCTGCATTAGAAAAGGATTACGAAGAAGTAGGCATGGACTCGACAGACGCAGGCGAGGGTGAAGATGAAAATTAATCTCACACATCTAACATTTTTGACAGGAATGATTTAAATGAACGGCGAATTCATGTTTTGTACAAATTATATACTGTTTTTGATGGATTTTATTATTGATTTTATACATTGTTTTAATAGGTAGTTTTATTTTTAATGTACATATACACATTTTTAGAATTTTATTGTAAATAAAATTTTATATTTTTTTTAAAGTTCTGTTCTTTCATTAATGTATTTAAAAAAAAAAGGTTTTAAATTTTAAATTTTAAAAACTTAAAAAATGTTTTTAACTTTTATTGCATATTTAAAAATATAAATATTCGATGTATTCGTAATTAACTTTTTCTTCAACAATTTTTAAAATTACTCTATAAAATATATCTTGAATTTTGAATTTTTAATCGGATTCATTATTAGATCTTAAAATTGTAATTATTAATTTCAACTTTTGATCACATTTTTTTAAATTTTTAATCTCTTACGCATGTATATAAAATTTAACGGTAAAAGTATCAAAAATTTTATATGAATAACATGAATTAAAATCCGTAACCGATTATATATATATAAAAAAAAAAGATACTTAAAATGTTCTTAACAACATACTTTTTATTAATATCAGTTAGGAGAAAACTAAATCGAAGGACTAAACGTTCTTTTGAATAATGGAAAAAGTTATGTCAAATAAAATAATTACTAAAAATACTAATTAATTTCAATCTTCATTTTAAAAGGATAAAAGAGGATAATAATTGTATTAAGATAAAATTCATAGATATTACAGGCTTTTTATTGTGTAGGACAGCACGCGGCTACACGAATTATATTACATATGTATAAATTCGTAATCGACAGCTTTACAGTTACAGAAAACTCTTATCGCACATAGAATCATCTTTCAATCTTGAGGGAAGGGAAAGGGTGACATATTTTCTTTTTTTATCCAAACTGCGATGTAACGGATAGTACACTCGGTGTAACATGATATGAAAACGCGCGCGCGCGCGTCTCGGATCGTTTCTGTTCCTGACAACATACGCTTTTAAATTTGCTCTTCGTGCGTATCTCGCCGAGTGATACAAAAAACTCATGATAATATTAATAATATTAATAATAATAATAATAATAATAATAATAATAAAAATAATAATATTAATATTAATATCAATAATAATAATAAAAATAATAGTAAAAATAAAGAAGAGTGTCCTCGCATGACAATCGAAAAAGGAAATTCCAACTTGTTGATTGAATATGTCTATTATGTAAAAAAAAAAAAGTGTTATGTTTGTATGAAAAACAGTGAGAGATGGTTGGGTAAGGCATATGAGAAGAACCACAATAACGATGATGAAAATAAAAAACATCGATTGATCGGTACACCGATATATAAATGGTAATAAATGTCAACACGACGACAATGAAGCGATGGCATCAACGAGAACGTCTGTTCATTCAATCCTTAGAATAATAATTAATATGTATCTATAATATCTAGAATATCGTTCATCTATAAAAAAGTTACCATTGATCGTATATTTTGTAGGTTTACGTTCAATGGAACGGAATTTATTTTTCCTCATTTTATTTATTTATTTAATTTTTTTTTTTCATTTTTACTTTTGTAATTTTTTGATAATGTATGAAACGGAAAGAGCGAATATTGAACGCAGAGAACGACGTTTCGCCTTTGTCACTTTTCATCGAAGTCGAACGCGATTACGGCTATTATGATTCTATCGTAAATAGAGTATCCTAATAAAAAGATTCTCGTTACGCATGTTACGTGATTTTTTTATGTTTTGTTCGACACGCGCGATAATAATTAGCAAATTTTTTTCATTTAAAACTTTGTATTTTATAAAATTTCTGTTCATTCTCTCTCGCTTTTTCTCTATCTCTCTCACTCTCTCTCTATCTTTCTTTCATACATATTCAAATACACTTATACATAACCTTTCATAATCTTTTCTTATTCTCTCACTTTCTATCCCTTTCATACTCAATCGTTTTTTTTTTTTTTAAAGATCGCCTCTTTCTCTCTTTAATTCAACAATTATCATCATCATTATCATCATCATTACCTCATCATTCTTTTTTGGATTGGCAGGCGAGTTAAAGCTGCCGCTCGCTGGACTAGAGATTTCACTACTGCTTTATTGCGCATCCGTTGTCCGACACGACAATATTCTTCTTTCACTCTTTATGTCTCTATCTCTCTCTTTTCTTTCTCTCTGTCGCTTTGCTCTCGCATCTTCGGGAACGGCTAAGAACCGCAATCCCAATTGTTGTGATCTCTTTCTCTTCTCTCTCTATCTCTCCATACTATCATTATCTCTTACTTTCTCTTTCCAGCGAATGTTTATTTTTCGTTTTCTTTCCTTTTTTAAATATATTCTTATATTGAACACTTCTTTTCCATACGAACAAATTTGCATTCATGAACAATTTGTTTGCCAGGAGAAGAAATGTTTGACGCAAATCATTTTTTTTCGCCGGTACACATAGTGTGAAAATCGTTGAACGAGCAAGCACAGTTTAATTGAACACGTAGAAGATTGATGTGATAGGCAGTAAAGATTTTTTTGCTATATGATGCGTTTGTTTTATATGTAAAATCGTGAACAAAAAAATTGGAAATTAATTTTATTAGAAACGGCAATGATTTTTCATAATTTAAGAAAATAAAATTTGAATTTCAATTCTATAAAGATTAGAATAGTAAAATGGCAGTAGTGTTTTGAAGTGTTATGTAAAATTTATTTTTATGTAAGAATATTTAAGTATTTAAATATAAATATGTAATATTTTTATATCTTAAAATATATTACATAGATATGTAATTCGCAGCAACTTAATATAATGTTACTTATTTCTTGAATCATAGTAATGTTTAATTATTGTCAATTCATTTTTAGGCATAAAGTATAATATGCAATTTTTTGTAATTTTATGTAATGTTGTAAATTGTAAAAAATTCAAATGAATAATTCATTTTCTATTCAATATAATTTTTAATTTCCATATAATTTCATCTTATTCAAACGCATCATAGAGATAATCTATCTCGCAACAATTATCGATTTCTTAAATCAAAAACGAAATCAAATCAAATCAAAATATATACACTGCATTGCTCGTTTCTTTATCCTCACAAATTTTTCAAATACTTCTATAATTGTGCGCTAGGCTCAACAGAGCGGAGCATCGATCACCAGAACGAATGATCGGGAGACGAACTTCTGGCCAGGGCGATCTCTGTCGATCGATAGGAGAAAGCTCAGACGGGCAACGCGAGTCAAATGACGCGAGATGCCGACTGTCGGTAAAATGTCTATAAGGCACGGCCTCGAGGATGCTCGTCTCTCATCGTCGTTAAGATTTTTTTTCTTTTTTTTCCCTTTTTTTTTTCTTTTTTTTTTTTGCGTCTGATAGCCGGGTGGAAGAGAGAAACATCGCCGCTTTTGGCGAGTCTCGTTAACTGTACGAAAATAAAGCGATCTCACATGTGGAGGATGATCCTCTGTGATATGCAACTGACCGTGCAATGAGATTATTGTTATCATTTCACGACCAATCAATATTTTGCCCTCATCAAAATAATGCAAACTCGTGGGGCAGTGATTACTCGTCCAGACAAATTACAATCGCAAAACATATCATATTCAAGACATTAAATAGTAATAAAATGATCGTACGAGACGCTACAAAATTCTATAAATTATTTTTAGTCCATAACAAGTGAGAAACTCAATTGCCGAGAGAGGTTAGGTTCATCATAATCAAAAGAATCATAGAAACTTAATTGTTCTATTATAGCGTTGGATTATAAGATTATTTTTAGGTATGGAGGATATAAAAGTTCGATAAACTAACGTCTGCTTGACTATTGAGCTTCTCAAATAATTTCCTTTTAGTCGTCAACACTGATAAAAGCCTCTAAACATTGATTCTTAAAACGCTACGCAATCTAATGTATAGTAACTTTGCTTGTACTTTTGTCGTTTCAATAAAGTTAGGAATATAACGCGGAGGTTTGCAGTTAAAGATATGTGTAACGTCTCGTTGGACCGCTTCCATAATTAATACTATATGAACAATTTTAGGCTTTTTTTGTTGCCTCGATTTTTTAACACTCGAAGTTTTCGAACCTGAACTATATCTTTTCGGAAATCTTCAATACTACATGTATATAATACAATTAATCCAATTTCGATTAAACTTCAGTATTAAAATTTTAATAAATATAAGATAATAAAGTTTGTTTCAAATGCAATATTTGGAGTTATATTTTTATACTTTTTAATGTTTTTCAAAATATCAAAAATTCTTTTCCAAAAAAACATAATTTACATTCGAAAACCTCAATCTCCACGATTAGACGTAATGCGTCAGTGTCATAGTCCAAATATAAATTTTGAACATCTTATTACGATCTGCGCATTGTAACTGTCAGAAACGAGTCTACGTTCATTTTTTGTGTAGCATTGGAGGCGCGCGAACTTGGTAGAAAAACGGTAACGCTAAATTCTAAAACGTATCAAAAACCATCGTCCTTTTAAGGCTGGTTGCATGGAGGAGGCTGCGTACGAGTTTGTTGAAAACGTACACAGGGCGGGGAGGAATCATGTCGCGTTGTTTCTTTGGTAATACGTACGACGTAATAGCGGTAATAGCAGTCGATTATACACACGCCACCACAGTTATGGTACCGTTCGAACCGCTAATAATGTCAAAGTTACACATACATATCCAAGCGTTATTGTCGAAAGTAACAAACGAGGAAAGGACACGCGCTCGCGCGTCTTTTTTCGCAAGCTCGAGGACACGATTATGACGCGGTCGTTCCAACTCTGCGAGAGCAAATTAAAAGACGAAGGAGGAAAATGAATAACATAAAACCCGGACAGGGGTATAAAAGCAACATAAATCTAACCTACGCACGCCCTAGGCGCCTGCTTTATCAATCACACGAGGCGTATTTTTTTTTTTTTTAATCATTAAATAAAAGTCACGCTACGATATCGATCTCGACTAAAAGTTGGATACAAATGGCGATACTTTCGTCGATACGATGATTTATTCGCCTGCAGCGATAAAAAATAATGGTACTCGCCGAAATAGCTATCCTTATTTATAAGAATAACTTACGACTGTTGTCGTTGTTGAATCATGAAATACAATATTATTAATCATACAAATGAAAATAATAACTAAAGGCTGAGAATAGTAACAGCAGTAAGTTGTAATGATAATAACGGTAGCGATAATATTATATATATAATATCGATTGTGAAAATATCTAAGATTAATGTTACTCTCTTTCGTTCTTTCTTTCTTTCTTTCTTTCTGAACCTCCTCACTCATTCGTTTTTTTTCTATCTTTCATACGTTCACTCATTTCCTTTATTCTCTGTCAAGCTCGAAGGCATACACGCGTACACAGAATCTTTATGTCTCTCGTTTGAAACTGGTATACCGGTGTGCGGACAAAGTAAATAAAAGATTTAAGAGGCAATACTAAAAACCAAAATATAAATAAAATGAAATTTGATATGCAAAGATCTCGGTTGAAACTTTCTTTAATTTTTTAAGTTACAAGAAATATAATTTTTCACTAAATGAAGCGAAACAAAGATAGAATCGTTTCGCTTCATTTAGAGCATTAAGAGCAATCCAATTAAATTGTGAACAATTAAATTGCTCGTTCTTTAATAAATAAGCCTCAATTGATATTTTTGCATATCAATTTTCATTTTTGTTTCAGCGTTTAGAACCCTTTAAATTTTCCATCCACTCCGTGCGAACACCCTGTATATAGTTCAGCAATATAAATCTCATTGACATTACGAGGATAGCAAAACCGTCGACGAACCAGAATCTTTCCCGTCTTCACGATCCAACAAAGATATTCCATATGTTCTCGTCTTATATATCAATTCGATAGTAACAAACGTATTTTAAATCACTTCCTTCCATCATTTCTACATTTTTTTTTTTTTTTCCCATTGTTTGCTAAAGTTCTAAGATCCTGAGAATCTCGTAACAATCAAACTACTCATCAACATAGGACCAAATCTGCGGAAGAATTAGCAGAAGAATAATTGGACGCTTCTACGCAAGTCCCTTTATCGAAGATATTATTTATCCTAAGCATAGTTTCTCCACGAGACGAGAACACCAAAACGATTGCGTACGATGAATTGTACGATGAAAACGGCGTTTGCTTGTTTCGAGAGGACGAGTTAACGCGAGTTGGCCAGGCATCAATCCCTGGAACCGTTCCTTTCGCGGACTGGCTGCGCCATCGTTCAGGATCTGTAGATTCGGATCACGTCCCTGATGGTCGCTCGACAAAGCGGGCAATGTCCGCCACCTTTGCCGCGCCACTGTTGGGTGGCGCAAGGATAGCACATACACATGTGGCCGCACATGTACAGCACACTGTCGATGCTTCTTTCATAGCAAACTGAACATTCGTTGGGCTGCCCAGGCGTAGGTTGGAGGCCCTCGCTCCATTGTTGCAGATGGGAGGACGCCTGAGAGATGAGGGTACCGTCCAGGCTCTGGTAATTCACTGGCTCCACGTAAGTGGAGGATCCTGTACTGGCCATAGTGCCTGTCAGAGGTGGCGAGGACTGTCTGGATGATCCAGGATGCAACGTTGACGCCGTGGATGCGGTGGCAGCTGTTGCTGGAAGATGAACGTGCTGGTTTCTGTGTCCGGCAGAGGCGTAAGTAGGTTGAGGAGTAGACGAGGACGGCGTGACGTAGCCTGTTTGAGGCGGAAGGTTCACCACGAGCACCGTGCCTCCGCCTATGGCTGGTTTAAACTGAACCATTTCCGAGAATCTGGACAGTTCTGTGGCCGCGTTACTGTGATTGCAGTGTTGCTGCTGCTGTTGTTGCTGCTGCTGTTGCTGTTGCAACACCGTCGCCGGCGAAGGATTGCTTTGGCGCTGTCTAGGTGGTGACGTAGGCCTCTCGGCAAGCATCCTGACTTGTTGCGTGCTGCCGTATACGTCGAAGAATGCCCACAATTGAAGACTTTGGTCCACGTGCATCACTACGTTCGGTGGCCCGCCATTTTTGCTCATTTGCACCTCTCCAAAGTGAGTCACTGTGAAGGCTATTTCGTCACCGGGTTGGGGACTCGACGCCACATGTTTGGAGACTACCCAATACTCTGGACGATCCAATAGGAGGTCGCTGTCGTCCGGCAGGTCCTCTGGAGTGAGTCGGGCCGGATCGCAGGATGTCAGGCCTAGAGCGAGGGCGCCAACGTACATCGGTTCCGTGGCTAGGATCTGAACGACCAATCGTTCGCCTAGTAGCAGTGGTTGGCTTGTGAACGCATAGCCATGGCAGAATTCCGTGTCGGTCCTTGTCGCCACGCATTGTTGGTTACTGAACGAATGTTTCTGCCTCGAGTTCTGAAAAAAAATGAAGAAATGGGAAAACAATTAGAGAATCGTTTAATTTATAGAATTGAAAATAAGAATATTGAAAATGTAATAGTCAATAGATCGTAAGTTCTAAGTTTAAGTTTTAATTTATTTTTTCTATATTTCAATATTTAAATTCTAAAAAAAATTGTATTCCACAATCAGTCATATGTATTGCCAAAATCTTTTTTAGAATTTAGAATTTGAGATGACTATGATCTATTGTAGGATTCGATTGTTAAGTATTTACTTTTGTTTAGAGTTTTCAAGTTTTTGAATCTATAAAAATTTTATCATAATATAGTATTATAAGTAGTTCTTTTGATATTGATGTTTTTATATCATAGATTAGAAATCAATAGGAATGGTTCGTTAATTTTATAATATTAGACAATTGAAAAATTAAAAAAAGTATGTTTTAAATTGAATTTAATTGAAGATTTTACCAATCTCTTGGTATTTTTTGATCTTTAGATCTTCTCTATTTCTAGGAAAATATTCCTTGATTGTATAATAAAATATTAAGATCATTGAATGCAATTCATATTTAAGCAATAATAAATATATTTGAACAGTGAAATTTTTATTAAATTTTTTTACTGAAAATATTAATTCAATTCATAAAGTATATATTGAATATTTTAAATATGTGAATGTTTTTCATATGTGATTTACTATGATCTTCATTATAAATGTAATATTTTGCATAATATATAAATTAATTATATTTAAATTATTTAAAGTCTTTATCAAGTAAGTTTTTTTCGTTTTCGTTCGAAGAAATTAAAAATTTAAATTCTTATTATAGGAATTAAAATACATGGAATCGTCTAAAAAGAGCTTATTAGTATTCAATCATTATAAGACCATAGAATAAGCTACACGCGTGACGGAAATTGAGTTTGAGGACAAACGATACCGGAAAACGATTTTAATTGAACAGTATAGCCACGAACGAATCGATAGCATACTGTGGAACCTTATGCCAATTCAATTTCAATTTTCAATTTCAATTTTATAATTAAATTATAAATTTGCAAACTTCGAAACGAAAACATTTTCTTAGAATAGCGTTTTATTAATCTTTTGTTATTATTTTACTAATTAAACAATAAATTATTTTTTAAAAATAAATTATTAAATATTTTCTGTGATATTGTATGAAATAGTAAATTTTTTATTAATTTTGAATCAGTGATATATCTAATAGATCAAAATTAATTTATATAAGTAATTCTATTAGAATTCTCAAAACTTAGTATTATTGAAATCTATATAGAATATTGTTCTATTGTTTTAAAAAAAATTTTGTAAATAAATTAAATTTACATTTAGTACAATAGAATTTCATTTATCAAAATTTTTATCAATACTTAATTAAGTGAACTTTAGTTGAGCTTTTATTATTTATTATTTGAATTAATATCAATTATTAATTACATGATTTTCGTTGAAATGAAAACATAGATGTAATAAAATATACTAACGTATTACATAATTGAAAAAAATCAACCGAATATACAATTAAATCTAAATAAATTATCTAAATAAAAATTCGATTATTTAAATGAAAAATTAAAAATAACGAAGAATAATCGGTTAGACTTCTATTATGTAAACTTATAGGTTCATATATTTTTAGAAAAATATTCGTCTTTTTATTTCACAATTTTGAATGATAAATAAATTTTGTTTAACTTTAAATACGAATAGCAATCAATTGACTTATTGCTGAGCTCAACCAACCATTCAATATGACTTGACTTTTATTTAAATACTTTGTGATTGATCCAATATTTTTTTATTAATAACTCTGAATAAGCCGAAACAAAAGTTTTTACAAAGGAAAATGTTGTTCAAAATCTCAGGAATCTCTACTTAATCGATGTTAATAATCAAAATTTTTTTGGATTGTTAATAATCCAAAACACTTTATTGCATTTAAGCATCTACAATCGAATATGGACGCTCAAATGAGGAAGTAACTATTGAAAATTCAAATGAATCAAGAAAAGAGAGAATGTGAAATGAGACGTCAACTATCCTACTGTTCGTCCATGAAAAAAATGGCGAAGATAAAAAGTACGGATATTATTGTCTCACTTTTTGATATTATTATTTCGTGTCATATTTTCATAATTCGTTATCATCTACAATCGAATCAACTTGATAAAGAAAAACAAATGGATATATCGAATATAACTAAAACAGAATAACGATTTCAAAGGATTGATGTAAACTGATTTGACAACAAACATATTGACAAAATGTATCCTCTCATAGTTTACAAAAGTCCTACTACTATGTCAACACACTGTGCTCATGCAAAACAAACGGAGATCCCTACTTTTTCATTTTCTCATGGACAAAACAATTAACAATCGGTGTCAAGTTACAGTTTCGGCACGCTCGAAACTCGCTTCGAGGTCCAATTTCCAAGAAATTGGTGGAGACAGAGACAGTGTTTAAGTGAGCAACATGTAAACAGAATTCTACTGTACAAAGTATCAACATATTGTACGTTTTTATTCGACAGATATTTTCCAACTTTTTCCCCTTGTACCCATTTCTCCTCAATCTCTCCTTCTACCTCAAGCGGATTGTAAAAAAAGGGTGGACAAAACCGATCATCCTGATGCTCGATGGAAAGGTGCCCTTCGAGCGATTAAAACCAGAGACAAAGGGAGATCGTCCCTAAGACACTCACGAGTGGAAGGGTAACGGCGTGAAGATGACACCGGGAGGCTGAAACCTGAGTCCAGGCAGCTCGACGTCGGGCTCGTGATGGATCGACATGCCCTGCATGGACGGAACTATAATCCTCTCGACGTCTCTGCTCGCGTTGCTCGCGTCGTCCATGGCCGAGTGCCTGCTGTGCTGCGCGTTGTCCTCGTTGCTGTGCTCGGTCCCTCTTCTGATGTTATTGAAGTGTTGCCTGTTAGGATCGACGAACTCGATCGCCGTGCTGTTGCCGTACACGTCGATGATGGCCCACAATGGGCCCCGTGTCTCGACACCGCTGAAGAACACGCCCTTTTCCTCGCCATTTATGCCGAAGTGCACGTCTCCCGCGGACGTGACGTAATAGAAGAGCACCGTGTCCCTTTCGGCGAATCTCTCGGCCATGGCCTTCGCCCAGTAACCGGGTTTGTTGGTTAGGTCTGGGCAGGCGTACCTCGGAAGCCCATTTCTCAGGTTGATCGGGTCGTTGCTGGTGAAACCGAACGGATCACGCCGCTCCAATTGTCCGAGATCTCGAGGAATTTGACGCAGACCTGGAACGAGACGTTGGATCAACGTGTTAATTGGATTTCTTTTTTTTTATTTTTTGAACAAGAAGAAAGGAAAGAGATAAACTTCTACTTATCTTCTATTTATCTTTAGTAATACTATAGTATTTATGCCAAGAGTTTAAATTGTGTGATGTATATGTGTCATGACTATGATTATTCTTGCATGGCAGGAATGACGTGTATGTACGCATTATGAAAATTAATATAGTATACTATTTTGTACAATGTAGGTTAGATCAATGTAATATAATATAATAAGAATAAAAATGATATAGTAATATTAATTATATATTATAATAATATAATAATGACGACGTACCATTGTGAAATGTATCTTCAATGATAATACTTAAAAGGTTAAATACAGTAGTGTTCCAAAATAACAGTGGCCATTTTCCTTTAAAGAAATTATATTTATAATATATAATAGCGCTCGGTTAACTGTCGCACAACGTGACTAAAATGCGGCAGATATCCAGGGAAGTAGGTGTTCTGAGAATTGTTTGCGGCTTCTTTCTCGATTTTACTCGCTTCATTGACTCGTAAGAAAGAGAAAACTTTTTTCCCACTCATAAGAAATACGTTCGTATTTGTTTTTTACGATATCTTAAATCTTTAATATCTTTTTTAAAGACTTGTCTGAAAAATTGAAAGTTTAAAATTGGAATAATTCTATAGTCGTAACTGTACGTTACTATATATTTTAAATATACAATTCTTTATTAGAAAAATGGCACTATTATTTTAAAATATTAAAAATATTATATATATTAGATATATAAGATTATTATATATTATTATTTTATAATTATTAATTTGAATATCTTTATAATTTTGAAATTAATATTTCATATCAAATATAAAATTTGTTATGATTAGAAAAAGTAAAAATTTTCCAAATCTTATTTGATTTCGACAAATTAAGGAAAAATTATGATAATTAACAAATTTATTTGTCAAATAATGTGAAATTGATCAAATTTTTCTCAAAATTGTCTAAATATTAATACATTAATATATCATGAATAAATTTGATCAACAACTATCATAAGTAATTTTATTTTTTTAACAAATAATCTTTCTAATAAAAATAATTTTTAGTAAAAATAATTTTAGATGAAGGAATTCGAATATTTAAAATCGATTAAAGAAAATTACAAGAATTCCTAATTTATTCATTAAAATATTATAATTAATAAGAAGTCCAAAAATATATTTAATAATCTGCTTAAGAAAAATAAAGCACTTATACTATTTTAATATTAAAATATTGAAATAATTTTTTCAATTTTATTTTTTTTTTTCATTTTATATATTTTAGAACTGAATATATGAATTTATGAATATATAATATATAAATATATGAATACTGAACATGATGAATTTTTATAATGTTAGTTTTAATTTAATTATTTAGTTAAAAAATTAAATTATTTAGTTAGTTATTTAGTTATTAAGTTGTGATATTGGAATTATTTTATACTAAAGATTAGTTTTTCTTCTATATTTTATAGAATTGTAAAAATATTATAGAATATTATTAGTATGTAAGATATAGTGAATGAGTTTACAATATTTTGATTCTTGTTAAAATACTTTCAATGATTTGATTACTAAGATACCTTTCAATGATAATTTGATTACTTAAATTATTATTATCATAAACTTATTATTTTATGTTTCTTAAGATCTTATTAAAATCTTATTATTTTATGCCAAAAAATTGTTGATTATAGAAATATTAAACTATTATCGTTAAATAGTTATGTTAATAAATTATGACTTTTGTGTTTATATTTTCATTATATTAATTCTAATTTGATAATTGAGAATTATTATAATTATTATTTATTTTTGTAACAGTTAATTTACTAAATAATTTTCGTGTCATTATTATTTAATATGAAATCTACGAACTCTGAAAAAATTTCTATTAGGCAATAAGATCAAATGGAATTCAAGCTAGCAATTAAAATATTTAAAATCCAAAATTACTAAAATTCTATCGATAATCCATATATCACAATGAAAATATTAAATCAATGGCCTACAATTGACCACGAGAATTTATTTAATAGGTCGTAGCTACCTGAACTTTGTGTTCTTAGAATTCTTACGACACAAATCTTCATTCTTTAAAATTGTGTCATTTTTAAAACGTGTCAAATCACATACTATTTTTTCAATTTTTTAAAATTGGAAGAATTTGAAATAGAATTGATTTTCAAAATTATATCGTATTAAAGAAATTCGTTTAAAATGAAAAGAATTGGAAAGAAATGCAACTTAATTTATAAAATTACATTTGTATCGTTTTTAAAAAAAAAAATATTTGAATTTATCGTTTATTTTAGAGTTTAATCAAAGGATTTCGTCGTCAACGAGCCTTTTTCGCTACCAAGTTCGGCCATGTTATGTCACGAGGCTGAACGTGACGAAAATCCTAAAAGCGATAGTCAACAGGGGAACAGTTAAGTTACGAAATATCGAGTTCGAGTCGATGTTCTTTTTCCTAGAATCAAATGTCTCTGCTGGTGGCTTTGTCTTTTAAACGATTTACGTTCAAACCTCTATTTCAGGGTTTATGACCCTTCATCATTAACGACAAAACCAGGAAACTGAAAAAATAGATTGTTTCGAGGTGTTTCGAAGGAAAAATGAAATATTCTACGAATAGAAATACTTATAAATAGAAACAGAAATACTAGAAGGGAGAACCTAATATTAGACTTGAGAATTTTTAATTACTACAATATTTTAAATTTTATTTCTTGAAGTTTATAAAATCATATATTTTTCAAATGATACAGATATTTCATAAAATAATAATTAAATGAGTTAATAAATTTAGTAAGCAAATTATTTAATTTTGATGAAAATTATTCATTTCTTAATATGCTAATCGTTAAGTATTTATATTATTACTATTACATGTTTAATATGATTATTATTATTCATTATTGAATATTTGAATGCTATTCCAATTTGCACAGACATTTTCAATTAAGAAATAGACGTTTTTCCATAAATAGTTAGTTCTTCAATTTATTATTTCCTGAAATATTTATCTTAGTTTAAATTTTTAATAAATTATATATAATATAATAAAATTAATTATTTAAATATCATTAATTTTGAATCATTCTTGACTCATTTATGACAATTGATATTTTATATATTCTTAATATTAAAAAATTTTTTAATATGAAAAACTTATAATTTTTTTTT